TAGTATTTTTAATTGTTGAAACTATGTCAAGATCCAAGGCTTCCGGTTATATGTATAGGAAAAACTCGTTGAATATGTTGACCTTTAAAAAATCATCGAAAGTGGAGGAAGTAGCTTTCCTATAAGTTCATCTCGATGTGTAAAGTCCTCTTGGGCATCTAGAAAATGTAATAAATTACGTAACATAGAAGCTTACTTCATTAATTAGAAACATCGTAAGCTTATCTCTATTCGAAGTAAATATTAGAATGGAACTATTATTTCAAGATCGGAATAAAATAATCTCATAAATATGCGATTATCAGGGTAATGAATTCTAATATCCAGTGGACGAACGTCTGTAGTGTTGTGTTAGTACTGAAATTAGTCTCAGCAATTTCTTAAAACATATTTCAAGCATTTCTAAAACATATTATCATAAACAGGAAATATCCATATCTCGGAAAGGAATAGTTCTAATCGATTTTTGGATCTGTGTGTATATTGTATAATTTTTTTTTTTTCATTTTTATGGAGGATAAAATATGATAAAATATATAAAGCACCCTGTATAGAAAGTCTATATCTATATACATACATTTAAATTATACAACTATGAATAGAATTTCTTTTTTAACAGAATATTATACATAATATTGAGTTAATGACTACAAGATTAATATTCGTCTACTGTATAATATTCTTCGACGATACGTTTAAAAAGATTAATACTTTGAACAGAAATTGGACGAAATTTTTTTCAGACGAATATTAGAGAAAAATAGTGAAGCCAAGAAAAAGCTTCTAAGAATGTTCAAAGAAATTACGCCGGCCATGTTCAATTGGCATAGCCAACACAATGGCTACACATGTAACAAATAAGATTGCATTTCTTATTGCAAAATTAATGGTATACTTACATATAAATATATGTACTTGTCTCATGATTTAACAGAGAATTGCCATTTTCTTTTGTCAATAGAATCGCATCAAAGTTTCAGTATCCATGTTGACTCTATTGTTCATAATAATATTGTGAAAATTATAAACTATGCGAACTGTCTTGTGCATTTTTGTGTGTTATTTCCTGAATAGAGAAGTACTTATCGTAAATAAAAATCTAATGAACTAAATAGCGTGTACGCTTGCTTGAGGCTTGAAAGTACACTTCAAGTCAAGAGTAAAAACAAGTTTACATTAGTAAGGTATTCCAAATTACTCGAAGTCAAGCGACTTGATTAATAAAAGAAGCATGATAATAGGAATTCAAAAGAATATCTCAAATCGAGTAAACAATAGTGAAATATGGAAATAAAGAGGTTTCGAGATTAAATTAATGTAAACGAGGCGTTAGACATCATATAATTTATTGCTAGATTCAATATGCGCAGCATTTGAGATTATCGTAAAATTTCTATATTTTCTATTCTATTTGAGCATTCTACCATAGCCACGTTTTAAGACTATGCTAACGAAGACTAGAACAAAATTTTCAAAAGTTATCTTGAAATGCGTTTCTATGTCTTCATAAAAGATTCTGACGAGGAACACTTCAATCAATATTATGTTATATTAAATTTAATAAAAATTCATATTAAATTCCGAACCGAAGTTCGTCGATTGTTTTTCATAAAAGTAGTCCTGCTCCTGAACTAATTATGAATAACGTTTCTTTTTTAAATATCTCGGTGGGCTTTTTAGTGCATTCTTTCAAATTATATAAAAAAAACCACATGATTATATCTACATGATAATCAATCGAACAGCGTTTCTCGTAAGAAGGTATTTTCATAAACTGCCATTGAAAAGCGTTCTTGAAAAAATGCTATTTTAGTTAGCCTTGAGCTTGTCGTTAGCATAATCTTTTTTTCCGACATTCTTCGTATGTTTGCCAGACAAATAACTATTCTTAAAGAATATAGAGAAGAGAATGAAATAGCTGATGTACATCAGCATACCAAGCTTGGCGTTGTAAAGCTGAACGTGGCAATCATCTCGTCCACTTGCTACGTAATAGTGACTCATAGCAGTTACAGCGCAACCGGCAACCATTTGTACCAGTTGTAACGTAGTGATAAGCATGGCAACCCATTTTGGCGGGCTGAATTGCATTGCTTTTAAAGCATAATAAGAGTACATCCATGAATGGACGAAGTAATTCATTACGGTGTACCATCTGCCTGTTGCTGTAGTTTCTATATAACATAACCACGAATAAAGAAGAACTGTTATGTGATGGTACCAGTGTAGAAAGATTAACGGTTGCTTTCGCAACACGATGAATATTGTGTCTCCGAGCTCAGCAATTTTTGATAAGATAAACAAGAATGTCCAAAAACCAGAAACGTGGTCTTGTGTAAGGTAGCTGTAAAAAATAATAATATATGTAATTAAGTTTTTAGCATTTTAGAAATATTGTTGTTATATAAAATAATATTATGTGTTATATGTCTCAAAATTTATCAGACTATAACATAGACAAATACCCAACATTTAGTTTTTAAAATAGTAGGGATATAGAATATTTATGTAATAAGATAAATCTAATAAGAAGAAATAAATTGATAAAATGAATTGAAAATAAACAATTTTTATTTGAATAATATATTTAAGACATAAATATACAAAGTTATTTCTTAATTAACTTTGAAACTTGTTAGTCATCTGAAAATATTTTAAAAATTAAAATGGGAAAATGAAATTACCTAGGTGAACAAATACTATAGTAAAATCCATGATGCCTTAACGTATGAAACATTTCTGGTGCTGTCCTAAGAAATCCCATAATGGAGAATAATGCAAGCATTGCACTCCACAAAGCAAGTTTGCTTCTGAGGTTAAACTTTGGTCTATTTGACATGTAATGTTTCCCACCAAAGATTATGACAGCGTAGATCCCACAATATAAGAAACAGTTTGGGTAATGGCTTCTACTCCATGTTAGAGAATTTGTGTAAGAGTAAGTTTTTTCAAAGTTGAAAACATATGAGTAATTAGGTATAGTAAGCTGCATATAATCGGCGTTGCCCATCTTGGGGTATCTGTTTTCTATCTTCTGACTATAGAGAAGGTATTGCCTTTCGCCTCTGGTACAGGTCAGCTGAAAAGAAAGAGAGACAATTGATGATATTTTTGTTAAATATTATTATAAAAGTATCAATAAGTATAATAAGTATTTCCATTTTGACTTTCCACAATGACTTTTTGGAAACAATATTTCTACATCGCTTCTCAAGTTTCCTCGAGTCATTAGTTATCTTAGAACTATATTATTGTCCTTTCCTATTCTGGTTCTATATTCTTCAGCTTCTTCTAGTTGTAGTGTATTGTTACTTAGCATATACTTTCTTCCTTTGACTACTTTTCTCACTTTTTATTCTAAAGATGCAAGCTCATTTATAATAATACTTCAGTTGAACCGTCTATTTGAAAAATTAATTTGTTTAATAGAATTGTTGCATTAATATCTTAAATATATGGAACTTGTGGTTTTCCCTGTATTTGAAATATTTAGTAGCATTTGCTTTGTATCAGGAATTGTTGCTTTATATAGTATTGTATCATTTTTTACTGGTTAGTCTCTGCCCTCTGTAATCAGTTTTCATCAATTTTAAGTTCAATCTTTTCCTTGTCATTACCACGTGTTCTTAGTGAAACTAACCTCATTTCGCTTTCGCCTTTAACAATTTTTATTCGTGTAGAACCATCATTAAAATGTAGCGACAAGTGAACGAATTATGGAATTTTTTGTTTGCTACTAAGCTTATATTTACTAAACTATATTAATAAATAACATTCATGCACACGTGCATATTGATCTTTCCACCTTACTATCGAAATAAATTGACAATCATTAAGATAACAGAATAATAAATCAATTCTTATACAACTGTAAATATCTAAACGAAATATTGTTATTAGCTGAAAAAGATTGGTAAGTTTCCGCTTCATATAAGAGTAAAGGATATCTGACAGATGACATTTTCAGACAAATGTCAATGTCAAATAAATATTAATACATTTTTGTTAAACAGGAAATACAGAAAAACTTAAACCTAGATTAAAAAAAAAAACTGTTTTTCAAAAAATAATGACCTATCTTAGAAATGTTAGAAAATAAAACATTCGGTATTTTCCTGTCATTATGTATATCTACGTGTCCTTATTGATTATCTCTTTACAACGTTATGTTGTTTTATATTTTTCGATTTTGTGAAAGAACATATTATAATTGTTGAATATCTTTGTTAGAGCTTCTTATTTTACGATAGCCTAATATTTTTGACCAAAACGTCTTTGAAATATCATGCGTATTATATAATAACTAAATTATGCAAGTCGTACGCTTTTACTAGTTTATTACTTACTGATTGAATTTTAATTTTTCGTTATGCTGTTTTGCAGCATTCGGCTCACGAGCAGACGTCACTGGAATCCTTTCACCTTTCGCAGGATGTTGATTTTGATATGAACTTGGAACCGTACTTACCTATCTTGCATTCCTAAGCCATCCCTTTCAGGGGTGTCTCAAGTCACGTGCGTTTTAACCCCTAACCATTTTTGAAGCCACAGCGTACGAATAATTACTTATTTTATTTGTATTTAAATAAAACGACTTGAAGAGGGTCCGTGCAAGGAAGCAAGACGAATTATTTATTTGTGATTTATTTACTTAGAAAAACAAATGATAATTTACGTCATAGGAAAACCTGTATAAAACAGTATTATCCATTTCTATATACATATACCCTTCTATTAAAAACTACAATTCGTCTTCTTATTGAATAAGCGATGTCAAAATTTGGACCACATTTGTCCATCAAAGGAGAGTGACGCGTATTCATCTATCGTACTATTAAAAGGAGTTCTACCTACCTAGCAGGAGTGGTGAGGAGCAAGAGAATGCTTCTGCTTATTTTACTAATTGTCTCACGTAGATATCACGCATATGCTGGCCGTGGCATGTGTTATCATAGTTGTAGTCATGTACTTGACGAATAAGTGAAAATCGTGTGATAAAGCACATTGTCAGTGAAGTGCAAGTGTATTTAACGGCAATAGAAATTGTTACATTACGAAGCTTAGGTATGTTTGCCAAGTGTAAACAGTGTGCATTTAAGCAAAATGAAACAAATAATTCTTACTCGCTCCGTATTCTGCCAGGCTTCTCTCTCTTTTTTTTCTTTTCCGCACGCCGTTGTACGTAGCTGCGCAGTGTCACCTGTATCTGATTTTCAGATGTAATTCAGAAATGATGCATTTCGAGTGAATTGCAATTCCGCACTGCGGAAGTATGTAACTTGTTGCGTCTCACGATACACAAACGGTAATCTTCCGTAAATGCTTCGCACAAGAAGAAGTTCAACATTTCGAATTTTTACATTCCATGGAATGATAGCTAATATGTTAAAAAAGTACATCAAAAAATTTTCTTTTTTTCTTTTCTTTTTTCTTTCTTTCTGCCGGGTGTCAGTGGAATCGTATCAAATTCGTAGTATTTACGTCAACTCTGTCGTTCGTAATAGCCTTGTTCGAACTGTCGAAGTTCACGATATTAATAATTTGATCGTTTGAAAAATTTGTGGCGAGATCGATCGCTATCAAATTGTTGAAATATTTTACAGTCACGCGATTCAGCATTTTTCTTTATTTACGATAAGCAGAGAGTAGGACGATTTTAGTCAGAACGACTATAAATTAATATTTATGAGTTATCTAGATTATTCAAATATAATGTTTATCTAAATGAGAAATTTCTCAAAAAATGAGTTAACTAAGAAATATTAATTCTTAGTCGTTCTGATTATCATTATAACCACGTTAATTTTTGGCTATCGATAACCATTCTCGATGACGGAAATTTAATTTTAGTCGTCAATAACCGATATAAATGACCGGAATCTTTTTGTAGTTACCGTTAATCGGTATCGACCACAAAAGCATTTTCTAGTTACATTCGACTATTGTCAATCGTTATTAACATTACTGATAAAATTAGTATTCATTGACAACATAAAGAATTTAATCATAAAACTCATATATTTTATTACGCAAAAGAACGGTATGAAAATATTTGAAACAAAATAATGGGATAAAAGATATCGTAGTTTATCGTAATATTTTTATCGACATTTGTATTAGTATTATACATCAATATCTTTTATTTTATTGTTTGTTGCATACATTTTCATACTGATTTTCGATTAAGAAAATATATAAGTTTTATAATTAATTACTTTTTATATTGCTAATGAATATATACCGATTATCAGTAATGAAAAATCAGTAACCAAAATGAAATTCGGGTTATCGATAATCATTACCAGTAAACAAAGAAATTTTAATCATTTATAATGGTCATTCCTAATCAAAATTATCTAATTAAACTTATCGACTTTCATATCATAAATATTACTATTTAAAATGTCTTATAATAATTGTGATGTTTGGCTAACGTTAAATACAATTATACTAATTACGTAAACTCACGATATGGTTTCTACGATTTTTCAGGAAATCTTGTCTACAAATTACGTATTGTTGATATTTAAGTCGGTTGGGACTGATGGAGCTTCTAAAATATTTTTCTCGTGAATAGAGAAGGATAACGCTTGCCGTAGATAATTACTACGTAGTTCCGTAGACTATGTACCTCCCGTGATAATCAAGTACGTATGACATAACAAATACCAATTGCTAATTGTATCACTCTGTAAATAATATTATAATTAAAACGCTATCCTTTCATTTTTCAGAATACTCGTAGCGATTTTGGAATTTGTTCTGTTTCGATTCGCGTCTACTTGAAAGTAAACTTCCTTTTCAAATATAATATAGTAATGTAAGCTGATAATATTATAAGACTGCAGCGATTACCGACGTGGGAAAAACAATCTATAGTCGGTTAGAAGATATGGATATCCGTAGAAAATTCGAATTTAATCAATTAATGTTTGTGTTATTATATGTAAAAATTTAAGTATATGTTATACATATGTATATTATATATAATTATATAGTATATGAATATTTAGTTAATGTTGGACGTACTTGTAATGCATGGACTTGAATTCGTCACTAACGATGACTAATTATGGACACAACTCATCAAACATTCTCATGTATAATTTAAAATGATAAAATATGCGATTTGAGAAATAATCGATTCAAAATTCGGTTTTTTAATAAATCATTTTTTATTTGTCCTCTTTGTTCGGGAAATTTATTGAAAGATTTGAATATCTAATACTAAGGAGGTATAATATATTCATTTCGGTAAAAGCTTAGAGCCACGATACGAACGTAGATATTTAGTAAGTGATATTTACGTTTTCTGCTAACGTGTTTGACAAAATTAGAGGAAACCATGACAAATTTCGGCTCACATGATAATGCAACGTCAAATAATTATAATAGAAGCAGAGAGGGCACTGTGACACATGAAAACATAGAAAAACGAAGCTCTGCATAGTTGAAAATAATATATGATAAACAAATTATAATATAATATAATATAATACTAATAGTACAAAAATACTAATATCATCGATTCTATCGGATTTCTATCGCGGATTCTATACCTTTAGTCGTTCGCAAAAAAAGAAACAGATTTTAAATTCTATAATACAGGGTGTCCCAGTTACATTTTCATGCACGCTTTTCAACGTATTTTCCGTTTTTAGTTTCTCGAACGCTAAAATGATTCTCGCTTTTAATCGTACAACACTTGCATTGCCTTCGGAATAAACTTTTCATTTAATATGACTCCATAGATATAAATCAAAGGATGACAAATCCGGTGATCGCGGAGGTTAAGTTACCGTACCAAATTTAATTCGGGGAGCATACCTGTGTATGCAGTACGATGGCCAGCATTTTTAACAATTTTTACACTAACAAAGTAAATCTTAAGAATTACGTGCTTTGTTATTACTCATATATTTACGATATACTGACACACCCTGTATAATGCTGACATCTAATAAATAAGCACGATCTATTACAAATGTCGTATTCGTTTATAACTTACTTTTATACGCGTAAGAAGCTGACTTTATACACTCTTCGTTCATTTCCGTTAACAGAGACTAACGTCATTGTTATTTGGCATAATTGATCTACGAATGGCGAGAGGTGTATCTTCATTGGAACATTGTCAGCAGAAGGCCTTACGTCTGAATGAACAATTTTTATACAGGGTGTATCATAACACGTGGCACACACTTGAGAAATGGATAGGTGGTAGAAAAACAAGGAAAAATGTTCGTACGAACATGTGTTCTGTCTTCTACCTTGTTTCAAAGTTAGAATCACTTTTCAGTTTCAATAAACCACGTTCCGCCCGAAACACGCAAAAATTCGCGTGAAATCTTGGTCGGAAAAGCTTGTAGCGCGATCGTAAAGGAAGTTACTTCTGAGTTGGGGTCTTAAAGGTTATTAGAATTCTATTATTTATTAAACTATTAGAATATTTATAAGACGTTCTTTAGAATTTCATATTACTGCGCTCGCAATAGCCAGCCACGTATAGTAAATAATTTAAATAAAAAATATTGTAATGAAACAATTGTCGAGCTTTGTTTTTATCTGAGGCAATATCGCGACTCGAATGCAAAAAATGTTAAATAAGAAAACCTGCGAAGTCATTCCATATTATTATTGTCTTATTTATAAGACAATTTCTGAAGAATTGAATGGAACATTTTCAAGGCATTCGAACGTACTTTAACCTTTCAACATGAAAGCAAGCGAGTGCTACCTCCTCAGTGTACAAAGTTTATGTCGACGTAAAGGAATTATTATTATTGCAGGCAAACACGTCCGTGCAATTCGCAAGTGCTAATCATCGTAGAAGGTCTCTATGCAAGTTCACAATGGTCGTGCAAAATAATTTTGCGATCTTTCAAAAATTCCAGGTATGTGTCGAACAATACAGACAGAGTGGAGCCATTTCGAGCACCTTCTATGGAGATAAGCAGTTACGGATTATCGAAACACGAAAAAGGCTATAACTTTGAAACGAGAGTCGGATAGGACACACGTTTGTGCGAATTTTCTTCATTGTCTTTGTGCCTCCTGTCCACTTCTGAAGTGGGTCCCGGTGTTGTGATACACCCTGTATATCCTTCATTTCCTTTTCCTCTTCTTTTATTAAAAAAGAAAAAGTTAATTTTTCATGTAACATACATCTTTTTGATTATGCGTGGTTATTTATATATCTCCATCTGACTTTCTTTATGTTTTATTCGTTTTAATATTTTTCATATTTTTTGTCTGCAGTTACTTTATTTATTTATGAAGAAATAGAAAGGAAGAAATAGAATTTAAAAGCTCGATGTGTTTTGTACTAACCGTTTATGGTAAACGTCTTGGGAAATCGAAGAATACCAGATGTGTCGGATATTATCACGTTATAAGTCACTGTCGCATCAAATATATGACTAAACTCCATAGCAGCAGAGTCCGCACTATTTCCCATTAACCATCGAATCAAACGTAATCCAATTTGCGTATCTTCATGCAATGGAAATCATATAAATTAATTAATCTTTAAATTAAATAAACCACATGTACCTATAGAGACCCTCCACCTTATCCGAGCACAAATTATTCGAATACCCTAACGATCTACTATCCGAACGTAACACAAGGGTCGTTCAGAAAGTATTGGGTTGTCCGGAAAGTTCATTTCGATTTTTAAGGAATTTGGTGGACATGGAAGACCATATTGAAAAGTTTTTGCTGCGAAAAACGTGACAGGTTCTGAAAGGATGGAATATTAGTATGTATACTAAAATTACAAATAAAGAAAACTGTTTCAGGTGCATCTGTATCGTTGTTATTTGAAAATGGGTATTACTTTCTGGACGATCCTCGTGTTTCTCAGTAACCGATGCCTTTTTCCACACCCAATATTTAGATACATATTTTATCGAAACGAATAAAAATAATTAATTAAAAAACTAACAGAATTAGCAACAGTATATGGCGTTGGAAAAGCCACGTTCGCAAGAGGTTAGAAAACAAAAACAGAATACTGAAGATTATCCAAAGCACGTGGATTCCTTTGAAAACCCTTAACCTCAATTAATTCATCAGTTTGGGTACGTACCTAAATATCGAGACCAAAAGAGTCGTTCTTTAGGATCCAGCGTCTTTTGAAACATGTAAGCAACGCAACTCCAAAGTTGTTTATTTTTCGATGGTATTGGCACAGTCAGATTCAAGCGACACATTTCATTATAATAGTCCTGTCCCGTGCAAATGCATTTTTCAATTTGTTCGTCCCATTCGACGACGATATTATCGGTTAGTGATGTTTGCCATTGTGAATTTATCTATATTTCAAATCAAGCTGTTGGAAATGTTCATCTCTATAGGATGTCACGTCATGTGACAGACGTGTTATTGCGTGTGTCGTTAAACGGTTATAGCAACAAAAATGATATACGAGATGAGCGTTGACGAAGATATATTGCTACTGTACAAAATATTAGGTTGTCTCAAGAGTGTCTTTCTTTTACAAAACATGTCTTTTACAGCATCTGTATACAAACATGTAACCTAATCTGCCAAATGTTGTGGTCTTTATCTTAATAGAGCAAAATGGATTATTAAATCACGACATTTGATCAAATAATATAAAACAAAGAATGTTGCGTATCTATTATTTCCTTATAAAACGTTTGGGCCAACCTAATATAAATACATCAGGAATATTTACATCTATTACAGACAGATGATATTAAATATCTTTTACGACCGCAATTTCAATGAATGACGAACGAGAGCTTAAAAGAGGTAGGTCGTAAAAGTATTATGATATATTCTGACTATTATGTGATGTAAATATTTCTCATACCGGCTTATACCGATTTTCTTTTTTATTGTTATTCTTTAACGATGCTTCCACTGAAGTATCTTTGTATCACATCTTTTATTCATCTTGACTGCTAGAACCTACTGACAACGTATGCAATCGTACATTGTTCTTTAAATTAAATCACTGTCACGATATAGCGTCAACGCGTTTTATACGCACTTGAATAATAAAGTCGCCCATCTTTGATTGAAAAATGATCCAAAAGCTTCGATGGGAAGGCGAGAGACACGCCACTGTGACCGATAGATGGGCTATTTTAGTACCTTCTTTGACTACGATTGAATTTTGATTTAAAAACAATCTCCGAGGTATCTTTCTTAAACGTAGCTCAGACCATCGCGTCTGTTTCAAAGTATCTATAAAATAATTGCATCTTTAGATCCGAGTATATTAAAAATTATTATTCGAATTGTAATATGTTAAAGAAAAATATACATATATTGTACAGGTATAACTTAATGCTGTATAACAGCTTTTCTGTAACATGTTATATACAGAGTGCGGCCGAATAACACGTACAACCGAGTACGAAGTGATTTCTTATGAAAAAATAAGAATAAAATATGGAATAATATTTTTTCATTTAAGGTTTAGTTTGAAAATTTATCAAGTATACTGGAACATGGCTAACTGCGGACTGCCCAGTACCAAATAATCGACAGGAGGTCGTTTTATGTGTGAAAATAAGTCGAAAATGCAGAATACAATTTTTTCTCAAGACGCTTTGTTTCCGAGAAAAATAAATTTGAAAATTTATTAATCGCGTGTACTAAACATGCTCTTAACTGAACGCGTTCGAACTTTATTTCCTTGAAAATGGTGCCCCGAACGGACAAATCTTATTCTACATTTTCGACTTATTTTTACACGTAGAACAACCTCCTGTCGATTATTTAGCACTGCCCAGTCTGGAATTAGCCATATTCAAGTATACTTGATAAATTTTCAAATTCGATTTACTCGAAAACTAAACCTTAAATGACAAAATTTTATTCCACATTTTGTTCCTATTTTTTCATAAGGAATCATCTTGTTTCCGCTTGTACATGTTATTCGGCCACATCCTACGCAGTCTCGATGTCGAAAATTTAATCTACAAGCAACGTTCGAATATTTATAATCATCGTTTAGTTATCGATTTATACTAATGTCTGGAAAGTAAGCTTACTTACTCGGTTTAGTTGGTCGCTCTTCCGACGCCCAAATTTCGTATTCCGTCGAATTTTCATACGGTACATTGATAGTTAGAGTTTTTTCGACTGCTTGGTACAGCTTGCTGCATATCGTATATTCATTCGTAATTCCTAAACAGTCGGTTTGACCCTCCAAAATGAACATTTGATTCTTGCTAAAATGAGGACCAATCGTGGATCCACAAAACAGTAAATAAGCTGTTGAGAAAGGGATGCTGGTGATTGCGATAAAATCGAAACTAAAATAACGTTCCTCGCATTAAGAATAATAAATTTTGAGTTACGTAGGATACAGGAAAAGGAAGATAATTCAAACCTTCTAAATGTTAGTCAAACTCTATCTCATGCTGAAGAGAGAAAGTAGTTACCTTTAGTCTCTTTTATTTTCTTAGCGTGGAATTGTATCTTTATTATGGCAGTACCGTGGCTATTAAGATTGATGATCGGTTGTGACGATACTATGGTAAAAAATTCATTATCGTTGTCAAAAAACAACAGCAAGAAACCGACGCTGTGTACGGTTGGATTTGTGAAATTTAGTTGCCTGGTTACAGTTTCGGTCAAGGGGCAGCTAAATTTAATCTGCAAACATCGTTAAGCTTCAGATTTCTATAAAAATTGTATCCCTACAGAAGTAGACGTTCGCCTACCTTAGCCCTAGGGGTATACGTTGGCAGTATGTTAAATAAATATCTAACCAACATCAACATTTTAACGCAGTTTGGATAGATGATTTCCAATGGTGAAATTACAAAACCAAGTCGCATCTTCTTCCACGCGTTTGTCACGCAAATAGCATTGTGCAGTGCCTTCGATAATAAAGTGCGTATATTGGTCATTTTTACGAACGTGTCACAGCCACTATACGGTATTCTTTAATGAGACTATCGTGAGCGTAGTAGTAAAACTTGAAACCAATTCGAAAATGTACAGACATTTTGTGCAAGCATGCATCATTAGTGAATAATTAGCACTTTGTGGACCGTACGCTCTGATAAGCATATAGCCTGAATTACCGCGTATTTTTGCAGTGATTGAAAAGATTCAAAAGATCGCTCGGAAAGTTCGTTGCAATTTACATTTCGATTCGATGCACATTTATTGAATTATATAGGTGCAATTTTATTCCACAACCTTCCTTCATGTTTCACGCAACTTGAATCCGCAAAACCTCCGTCCCTCCAGAACCTCTCGGGTCTTTCGGCGAAAAACTTTCCAATATGATTTTTCACGTTGATTAAATTCCTTAAAAATCGGAACGAACTTTCCTAACAATATTATATCTAATATATTAATAATGGTTTCGTATTATCCAAGCATGTAGTTTAAATACACATTCGTAACATTCTTTTTATAGCATCTATTCAACAGTAGTTAACATTTTTATAGGATACTACATGAAGTAAAACGCGAATTCGCGTCTCCAGTCCGCAAAGTGTTAGTATACAGCGCAAAATAATTTTAAACGTACAATTAGCGCTAAAGATCATCTCGTTAAATATTGTGACTTATCAATGTAGTATATACTTTAATTAGTAACTAATATTTAATAATTATTAACGAATAATTAGCTGCTCAAATACTTTGGTGATCTTTACGAAGTATGTGTTTTCAGTAGATGTTTTGTAACTTTTATACATTTGCTTTGTGTACATTTTCAGATCAGTTACAAATTTGACCAGTATAATCACGATGGTCGTGTCTCGTTACTGATTATAAAGATTATAAAATATTATAGAAATTGCAAAATATTAGAAAATATATAATACTATTTTGCATAACATATACGTAATAAGCTTCTAAGAGTATTCGAATGCTTTCGTCAGCCATTGTATGCTGTATTACCTCCTCGTAACTTCGTGGACGGACATAAATTCCACTCAACTCTTCCTCAATGAGAAAAGGACAGTAAGCAGCTGTGACAGCAATTAAGACAAGGGAATCCGATAAATCTCTGTCGAAATTCTCGATGCCACGAGCCTCTGCCACATCTTTACTTTCATCGGGATTTAAAACCACGCGACGATCGGTCATCCATTCTTGTTTACGTGCCTCTTCGTAATGCTGACGCAACCATTCCAATAAGAATGATTCATCAAAAGAATAATTATTGTCAGGTGACTTGGACGATATTTCTGTGCTGATGTTTCCAATTATCGTATTGTGAGTTTCGTATTGCTTGCGGAAGCTGGAACATTCAAACGAGTGATTTTCCAATTAACTTTTGCAATTCTTTGAGCAAAAATTATGCTACGCGTAGGAATCCTACTGCATCCTGCAATAAATTCTCCATAAATGCGTAAAGATCCGCTGAATAATAACGACAGACACATTAAAGGGAAGAAAAAATCACATGGGGAAGTAAGTTTCATACTTTGTGACAATTAAAAGTAGGTGACAATTTGTTTGAGAGCAACGTCTGATATATGTATAAATTTAGACGAACCTCGATGTAGAAGGCGCTGTAGATGCTCGTTGAATAGTAGATCGTCTGGAACATTGCGGGGTGAACGAAGGCGAAGATTCGTCTTTACCTTTGCTCTCAAGAACGAGCGGTAATACGAAACATTTGTACGTTTGTAAGATCACATCTAGCCAGCATTGTTTGCTACGACATTCGAACTTCAGCGGTGACAATTTTTCTTGCATCGATAGCTCTATCCCCGATCTTCGTGTATAGGCCTGCAGTATAAATTTCTTGAGAATCAAGAATGCCAGTAACAATAAAATGAATAATAATAATAATATTACTATGACAAGTTTTATATAATTCTATTTTCTCTTCTGTAGTATATTTACTTTTAAAGCGTTGGAAATTTTGAATTTTTATTTTTGAATTTGACAGAAGAACTTCCCCTGCTTATATTAATTAATCCTTTCAGGATCGAATTCTTTTCTATGAGAAAATTTAGCGTTATAATTACTTTAGAGCGTGAACTTTCTAGAAGAACGATGTATTCCTCGTAATTGAGTAAAAATTGTGGTTGAACGTGGCACAAGTAAGCCCCATACTTTGTCAAGAACTGAAGAATATTGTCGTAAAGATTATATACGTAATTTACCCTGTCGATATCTTTTGCTGGCAGTTCTTTGCTGCGGAACGAAAACAGATTTACGTACATGTACATATACAGGATGTTTTATGTAACTAGAAAACTCTAAATAAAATTCAAATTACAAATATATCGTATTATATTATATTATATTAATATCGTTATATCAGAATTACATCGTTAGTTTCATAATACTCACAATTGTCCAATGTAATCATAAATTGTCGGTCCTATCAACGATTCGAGCACGCTCACGAACCCTAATTCCGGGCTTTTCCGTGTCGCAGTTTTAAACTCTGTTGGTTTCTTTGAATAATACTTGGACAGTGCCATTTTAATGCACAAAATGTCAGCATAAAAGTTAAACTTGAAAGGCCCACTGTGCATCCACTCTTCGGCGGCCTTTAGCGTTTGGTTCATATAAATTTCAAACTCGCTATAATTGAAATAACATATAAAGATAAAAAGCGAAGCTATTCACAGCCGTTCTGAGGCAATTATAAAATATTTCTGTCATGCTTCATTTCTTTTACAGAAGATATGTCCAAATTAGAGATACAATTTGAAGAAGAGTGAATCTATTATGAAAAGGTAAGTTGCAAATGTAGAGTAACAGTATTTTCGTACGGAGCTTTATTTCAGGATAAATCGATGTTGAAAATTCTTCCGCTATGCATATACTTTCGCTTACCTATATCTGGACTGATGATTATGAAAATGGTGTAAGTCTAAAACTTAAGGAAGTTGAGTTTTTAATTTATCTCACGTTATATTATTCTATGCAATAATATGCGAGATTTTTTGCACGAAAAATATTCGACTTACGTCATTCACTGGCGTAAATCACTGGCACATCTAACAGATATCACCAGTGAAACATGATATCGCCAGTAAAACATGGTATAACTCTGAAGGAAACTCACTCGCTCTCGCCATCAAAAGGAAAGAAGGGATACTGCATTGCCTCTTGAAGATCTTCGACTTTTGATTCGGATCTTGGGGTGGTTTCTTTTGATTTTTCGTTTGGGATTTCTGCTACACCTTTCTTCGTATCTTCCCCCAATTTATCGGCGTTGTTAAGAACCTCTTTCTCGTATGGGACCACCTGCGATTCGTGCACCGCTAGTTTCAGCTTACTTTCCATCAATTTTTCAATCGATACTCGACTCTTTCGACCGAAATACGTGAGAATGCCTATTCTTGGTTCTGACGTTTGTCTCTGAAATTAAAATATACAGGTTCCAGGCATTCGCAATGTGCGCATAATGCGCATAGTATGAGTTTTTGTAAAAAGAAAATTCTCTTACTGGCCTGTAAGAGTTTACTTCATATTCTTCGTCGTCGGTGAAACTGTCAGACGTTTTGGAAGCTCGAGATACTCTTTTATCGATGCTCAGTGACCATTGAAAATCGATGATCGGGGTTCTTATATACATGTGCGTAGTCAGCAAACTGTTTTCGGATGTAGCATGAACAATTACAGGGCAGACAGCCATTCCATCGCTGTCAAAGAATTCAACGATCACGCGGAAGGAAACAGACACCTCGCTTTTGAAAACCATCTTCACCTCCAATTCCGAGTATCTGGTAAAAGACAGTTTACGATAAAGATTATTTCGATATTGTATTTAATTTTAAGAAGACACATATGTACTTCTTATTTGATTGTTTCAATGATACTTCTCAAAATATTATTAGTATCTCTGTTGCGGATTTTTATGCATTTATGAGACATTACCTAAACATTGCGAATATACGAAATGCATGTAATGCAAAGACACAGAAAATACTATAGTAAAGTATACATATGTATACATATACAATATAACCTATAAATATACAGGGTGGTTGATAAGTGGTGGTACAAGCGGAAAGGGGGTGATTCTAAGCGAAAAAAGAATAGAATTTTTAGATTAGAATTTTAGATTAGATTAGAAAATTTTATAGAATAAAATTTTTTTTTTCAATTTTTCCATCGAGACAACGATCTACAGCGAGATGCGTTATAACGTACCGCAGGCGTACCGAGCGTAAATTCAAAGTCGATTTTCTCGAAAACAAAGCCTCAAACGAAAAATTGTGATTCTATATTTTCGACTTCTTTTTTCGCGTAGATCTTTTTTCGCGTAGAATCACCCCCTTTCCGCTTGTACCACCAGTTACCAACCACCCTGTATATGTACCATATAACATGATTATATAGAATTTAATCTGAACTAATTTTTATCCGAATATAAGTCAGTCGGATAAATACCTGTTCATTAGTGTTCATTAGATTCATTCTTTATCTTAATTCGTTATCCGTTATTACACTAGGATTTTATCCAACGCTGGATACGATCAGTTGCCTTAAACCTAACCTAACCTCAAACCGTAAACGTAAAAGCTAGGACATGCAGCCTATAACAGTATAAAGTACTGTTGGCGATATTTAACGAGCCATACAGATGTTTATGTAAATTACATTTCCTTATTCATGTTAATAAAAATATGAAGTTGCATAAAAACCCGCAGTCAGCCGATTACAAAATCACAACATTTTCTATAGTGTTCCAAAGAATTACTTACTCGGAAGCAGGCACGATATTTGTGTCGATAAAATTTATAAGAAGTAGGTTTTCCGTATATTGTCCACTGGAATATTCAGGTGGCATAATGTTCGACAAGATGACCACGTCTTTCTCGAAGTATCGCATATACAATCGAAACTTTTTTTCCAGCGAAGTATTTAACGGCACAGGTACGAAGAATATTTCCGAAAATTCCGCCTTGATAGTGCTGGCAGGATATTCACCGACGAGGCATAATTTATTAAACATCTCACCGTTCGATTCATTGCGGATGAATATTGGCGCATCGACGGAATAACTTCCTTGAGACTTGGGCTGAAACGACAGCGAGAACGCACACCTTTCCCCTTTTTGCAACGTACATCGAATGCAGTCCGGGTTAACAATCGGTTTTTCACCCGCTGACCATTGAATCGAAAACGGACACGAGGCAGTCGAGAAGTTGCTGATGTCTATTTGGACGATCTTCTCCTCCATTGATTCGCGATTTTCTATGCAGAATTCGTCTGACACCTTTAGAATCGAAATTTTATATACAACGAATAGAACGATCGCGATTATTTCCAAGGTAATTTTGCAATTTTTCATTTTCAAATTTTCGCGCGTTTACGAAGAATTGAAAGGTGCAGAAATTTATAGAGCACATATCGAATGCAGAAATATATAAAATATACAAAGCAAAATTATAACATTTACTACGAATGTTTTTTTTCGAGAAGATTATCCTTGTCGTTTCCATAATTGAACGCTTACGTTGTTCGTTAGGGTGTTGAAATGAAACACCAGTTTGTTAAAGAAAATCAAGTGTCCTGCGACTGTACAATCAATCGGCATCGTCACGATGGTAGGAGGCAATTTTTGCAGAGTCAGATTAGGTACGCCGATATAATGATTTTTGAATTGTTTCAAATATTCTGAAGGCTTAGACGATCTGTGGCTCGTCATTAATGCAGGGCCGAGTACATCGTTGATGATGATTGGGAGATAAAATGCGTAACTAGCCAAGTCGATGGGTTCGAAATGAAGATGAAAATCCTGGCTAGTGTTTGGTGCAAGCATAGTGTCCTTATTGCCTGTTAAAAATATAGAGAAGTTGCCTGGGTGAAATTTTTATTAAATATCACACTGCTACGTATATCAAACTAATTGAAATTGATCTATAATTAATTATGCTAAATCGTGTTCGTCGTATATCCGATATTTTATTTGAGAAGATATTTATATCTCAATATACGTATTAAACTAACTTGGATCAATTTAAAAATCTTTTTTTGGGGTTTCTTTTTCTAAATAAATGTAATAGCATAGCTAATTGATTATCGATAAATTGGAATTTAAACATACCTATTCCAGGATCTTGCCTCTGCGAGGATAATGAAATACGAAATTCTGGATACTCATTTAGTAGAAATCTCAATTTTAACATAGTCGTTCCAATATTTGATGCGGTGATTAAGCAATGTTGATACGCGGATGCACTTATTCGCCGTAAGTTAATGGAGTTCGGATGCAACTTTAATTGCGGGAACGTTACGTTGCCTGTGATTTTAAACTGAACGTTCACATGCTTCTGTATCGTTAGACGAATCACCAGAGTAAAATGAAAGCATAAGCTAAATGTCAAATAAATCTGCAATGCACAAAATAAGATTTCTTATTATCTCAGTTATATAAAAACTGTCATGACAGATAAAAGGAGCCTGCGAAGGTTGATAGAGAGAAAGGGGGACAAATTTTGCGAAGGTCTAGTTATCTAAAGCCAGAAGGAAAAAGGAAAATGCGGTAGTAGAGAAAAAATGATACAACTAATAGAAACTAATTGAAAAATGATAAAATTAAATAAAGTATAATAGAATATTATAGAATATTAATAATAGAAGATAATGATAAGTAAACATGATATAAATCTAAAATGAAAGGCAAAAGGATTACTATAAATTAAAAAAAGAAAGTAAAAGAAATCTATAGCGCTATCAGGAAATAAAATTTATAATGATGTTAGGAAAATTCAGAAAGGACAACATTATCCTTAATTAGTATTAGAAAGTAAATAACAGAGAAGAGAAATACGTGTGGAATATTTTCCACTGCACTATGAATCTTCAAAGTTTCATCAAAATCGGCTACACTTGGATAATCGTAATGCTGCTTGTAAGCTTACGTTAATTTAAATTGTTATGGATTCTTAATATCATTTACAATCGATAGAAATACGATACCAATTGAGTGTTAAAATAAACCGTAAGGTTTTTTCATATTTACCTCGAAGATGGCAACTCCACGAGGTGCCAATACTCCGTGAAGAGGACTAACAGTGCATCCATGAACCAAAGACGAAGTATCAACTTCGAATTCAATTTCGATGTATTCAAAATTCCTCAAAACAGCGACCGTTTTTGTCGGCAGGTTTAGTGGAATGTCACCGACATTTATGAGGTCTTTGATGAAGTTAACTTTGGGCGTCTGTACTGGCATACTCACACGTACAGTACTGTAACTGCTGTTTTCACATTTTATTATCAATTCGGTAGAACTGAACCTTGTAAAATCGGGCTTGTAGTATATATAACTGAACAACGAAGCATTTCCACGGACTGCACCCGATATTGGTTCGACGAAGAAGCAACACGTTGCGGGTACTTCCCATCTGGTTGAAAATGGCAGAATTTTAATTATAGAAATTGTTCGTTCATATACGTCGGGTTTACATTAGAATTAGGGTTAGGGGCGTGAAACGAATCTTCGTTTGGGTTACACGTTGTCGTTATGCAATAGAGAAGACATTGACTAGTGCAAATACGATTGTTATAGAACCGGACAAGTAACCGTGGTAGTTAGGTACTCGAGAAACTAATGGCAATGATCCTAGGTTCAATAACGAATCCGCGGTCGACGGGATGATAGATGAACGTACTCACAAAATCTAAGTCGGACGCGTAATATTCGCTGGTCGTGAAGGGTTACTCCTTTCATCGATGAGATCGCGAGCGAGAATGCCTTTCCCATCCCGATGATGCCACAGAGGAAAACTATAATGGGGTGTGTCTAAGGACACGAGATCATCGGATTCGTCG